GGTGTAAATTCCGAGTTGTGACTTGTTGCGCGAAAGTAATGTGTATCAGTACAATAGTCTAGCCATCGTAAGCGTGATTCGTGAAGGATCCAATTGGCAGTATGCGTGGTCGCAGGTGGAACGATAGTTAGACGTCCTGTTACTAGCACTCTGGCGTCGTGGCAGTCATTGCTGATTTGTAACTTGTGTCCAAGCTAGTCACTATATCTTCAGCTGAACATATGCTCTCAATCGCCGGATCGATCGACAAAAGGGTGGTGCTTATTCCCTGAATCGCGTTGATCAATAATGGGAGTGAAAGGCCGGACACTCTCACCGCACGAACAGCCATTATCACTGAGGTTGTTTTTAGCGATGGTATGAGGAACAAATCGAACTTACACATGGTACACAAGCATTAGTATAATCTCGTATGCACAACTCGGATGTCTACGGAGAGGGGGTATTAGGGTTAACCATGCTGCATACGACGGTGCTCGATAACATCGCCAAAGCTGTGCGGCGGAGAGATGGCACCTCGGCCAATCACCGCAAAGGAGGATAAATTGTCCAAATCTAATCGATCTCATACTCAAATAGTAAGACCGCATCTATATTGCTGAACGTGTTTGAGAGAAATTCTATTCAAGAACATGGTTTCGTACCTTCAATTTTTACCAACCACAATCTCGTTCAGATATCATGCGAAAGTTGGAACTTGGCAGCACGTTTTGATCGCCGACGAGCACCATTATCATATGCCTGGTCAGTGTGAATGGACAGCAATTATGACGGCTTTGAAGCACTGGTACTCGGGCTTGACACCTCAATATATCGGGATTTGAGAACTCGTGCGCGTGAAATTCGAGTAACTCATGGCAGTTGGCGGTTGGTTCCCCCTGAATTTACGTCTATTCATTCACGGGAAGTGTCAGTGAGATGTAAAAAAAATATACCACGTGGTCTTTTAGGACTTACATGCGTTTCTCGGATGTTGTCTATGACAAGGCAAAGCCTCGTAAGATGGTGAATCTTGCAGGAAGAAAGAGTGCCTATTTTCTTAATATAACGGGCAATAGGCATCGAGTTGGCCTAGGTTTTGGCCGAGAATGAAGCTATGTTAGTGGTGCATGTCACCCGAATCCAGCTGAATATGCATGAAAACTTTTCCAAACTGGTACATAGGATGACTTTTCGATGTAAGTTCTTGATTCCACTGAACCCAAAGGAAGAACGAGAACAAAGGGGCATCCGAAATCTCCGGATTTATCTATACCAGGGAGACGCGCATTCAGCGATTGGAAAGGAACCAAGGTCCGAATACGGGTTTGACCATCAAAGTGGTGGTGAGAAGCAAACTGCGAAAAGCGGTGCAGCCTCAAAATCATCAAATAAAATACGTCATCCAAGAAAAGGCACTTGAATTTCACGAAATTTGCAAGATTGCAACATTATGTAGTAGGTTGGGAAGAACGATCCATCAATATTATGATACATACATGACCCACAGTGAAAAAAGCGCTCGTCAGGAATGGAACTGTCCATGGTCAGATCATAGAGTCATTATCAAACATCATCAACTTGAAGTCGAAAACCTATACTCTGGTGGCGGTCCCAGCTCATCGACCTCGTCCACATTCCGTTTATACCCTAACTGCAACCAGTCCACCAATATCCTCGATACTTCCACCGCCAATGGCCCCATTTCTTCTGTTGAAGGCACGTTTCTATTTTCAGCCACCACACTAGATCCCTCCCGTCTCATGACCTCGGATCTTCGTTGTGGTTGCAAAATATGAGGATACGGAGTAGGAACACTCTGTTCAAGCTGTATTTCCCTTCTTCGTCGTCTCTGCCATCTGGTTCCGCAAAAGCCCGCCACCACTCCCAGTAATAGGACCAAAACTACGCCCCCTACAACGCCACCGGCGATGATACTTCTTCGAGTATGACTTTTATGACCGAGAGTGGGACTCGGATTATATGCTGGGGTTACAGTCGGAATGTTCGTGAATAAGGGCGTGAAACTGTGGCTAGTGGAACGAGTGTGTATGTTCCGAGCTGTGTGGTTCCAAGGGTTTTGTAAGGTTACAGTGACCGCCACGGCGTTCACAGTAAGAGTAACCCGTTCAGGCAAGATTTGACAAGAGTTAGGCGCGGTGTTGGATGGAATAGAAGTTCGAGACGTCACGATTGTTGGCGTAAGGGTTCGTGTGGTGGACGTGACTGGTGGTACGACACTCGAACTAGTCATCGTATCCTCGACAGTTGTCGTGCTCGGATTGCCTAAATCTGGATTAACAGTGGAGTGAAACGATGGAGACAAGCTACTCACGACACGAAGAGGCCCTATCCCTTTGAATCTAATTAGATACGCTAGTGGGTGTTGTCTTGGGCTTGAGCAGGCTTTATGAAGCCAATCATCATGAAGGCCTTACGTGAAGAACATAGTGGAAGCTGTGCAGATATCAGCTCTCCTCAGCTCTCCCCGATCACCGAGATACAAGACAAGTAGGCGGGAGTCCAGTCGTAACCAGAGAGTCGTCGAGCCTACAATGTCAGTCTAGCTACCCAGAAGCATTTTGCGTGTACGCTGAGTTCAGAAAAATCACTCAAAGACAATGGGGTCTTTTTCAGTGGAACAGAATTGCGTTTGAACATCGCTGGTAATGTCGATCAGTAGATCATGATGCATGATCCTTCGGGAGTGGGTCTGCCATGAACGGGAGTTCGGAGTCGCCTTTTATTGACATTATTATCCTTCGGTACTTGGCAGTTCAAACGCTGAATGTGAGTCAGTCTAAGCCATAGTGTCTAATTCGCGGTCGAAAGTCTCACCATACCTGCACCCGAGCTCAGTACGACTTCCGGTCAAATACGTTCAAATTGCTGCGGATGTTTATTGGCGATGAGATCGATGAGATAAGAAACCGAGGATCGTGATGTTAACATGTTGAATCAAGCTCCCGTGTTTGGATTCGACAAATGCTCCCATAGGTCAAGAAGTATTAGTAGGGCGCTGTCTTGCTGGTCGTTAACACATTAGTTTTGTCCAACTGGAGGGATAAAGAGACAGTTGTCAAAAGCTGCGGTTCTATGAGTGTGCTAGTAGACCTACAGGAAGCAAGTAGAGAGCCGTGATCTGACAATGCCTGAATAGAACAGAACAGAGCAACCTTTCGATCGGTGTCGTTGTCAAAAGTGACAAGCACACGTGCATGTGCACACAACAGTAATCTTCAAAAACTTCTGTCGATTGGTATATGTAAGGTATACTACTTGACCATTCGTTACAAAAAACGCCGACACCAAAGAACCAGAACCGAAAACGAAGGAAACTACGAGAAAACTTCCAATGGGTAACAACAATGCAGAGGGTAACTAATCGTTCAAAACGCGATCTTTTCACATGACATCGTACCCAACAAGTCCTTCCTCGATGCAACGCTTAGAAGACCATGGCGCCGCTAATGACAGCACCAGCCAAAGCCAAACCGACAGCCATGAAACCAGACGAAGCGAAGGTGACCTTGTTGGCTCCTGCGGCGTTGGAGGTGGCACCACCAGATGCAGCGGTGCCAGAACCGGAAGCTGAGCCAGTAGTGGAGTGGCTACCGCTGGTGTGAGAGGCAGAGCCAGATTCGGAGCCGGTGGGAGCAGTGCTAGTAGGAGCGGCGGAGCCAGAACCTGAAGCAGAGACTAAATAGGAGGTCAACGACGGGTATATGCACGAGGCAGATGCGACACGTACCATTAGCACACTGGGTTTGCTGGAGTTGGATAGCGGCCTGTTGTTCTTCGGCAGTACAGCTGGATTGGAGGCACTGAAGGGCAGCATTCTGGAATTCTGTAGAGCTGCAAACGCAGGAAAGGTCGGCGCTAACAAAAGGAGCGCGTTAGACACGTAATATAAGATGTAAAGAGCAATAGCGGCGACTTACAAGCTGCTGCAGCCACCGCTCGAGGAAGCCTCGGTGACACAGTTAAGAATGCATGGCGAGATGCCGTCGGTGGGCAATGAGCCAGCAGCCGAAGAGGTGCTGTCCTGAGCGACGACAGCGACAGCGGCGAGACCGAAAAGGGCGACGAGCTTGTTGGCAATCATGACGAGGACGAGGGAAAAAAGTCGACGATGGTGGTCGTGAGAGAAGAAGGGATTGAGGAATCCTGAGGAACTCGCTGTGTCACGTTCCATATTTATGAGTTAGCAAGCGTGAGAATCCCTGCCATTCTCGGAATTATTAGATCGTATGATCGGGTATTTCGCTTGAATTTTCAATTTCATCTCCAGCAGTTTCCTCAACGCTTTTCCAATTTCCGCTCTGCCCCTGCTCGAAATGGTTTTTATTCCTACACCTGGCAAGGTTTCTCTAGAAATATTGAATTTCCTTCACGAATTTCAAGCTTAGGAGGCCTGAACATATCGCTCGTTTCTGTCATGTCATGCTGAAACCATTTCATGGAAGGAAATATACTCAATTCCCCGCCTATTCCCCATCAATGATCGACTCCCCTTTACGTGCGTCGCCCATGTCGCCTGACCCAGACCTTACGGCGACGCGTCAAGCCAGCTTATTCTGTTCGAAGCCGAACAGTTTACCAGCCGCGCGCCTATCAACGACTCTTACAGGGAAAACCTGCAGGCACCGTTCCAGTCACCACTCGGAACCACATATAAAATACCCATCCTACGACGAGCATTTCACATCCGATCATTATACGCGTTGTCACGTTTGAAGAGCACCAACGCCAAGGTTTCACTTCGAAGCACCACTGAAAGCACCCCATTGATGACTCTCGGACTTCCTGGCATCTTCGAAGCCCCTACAGCACATGCGTTTATTCCGACTTGCATGTTCCGAAACCTTCGATGGACCGAATTAGCTCAAACATTACTCTTTCCAGTCAGATGCATCCTTCTTAGCGTCGAGACCGCGAAAGCCGAAACCCCGACAAGGCCTAGGTTATCTTCAACGATGTTAGGAATTATGTTCGGATACTGGGCTCCATCACCTTATTATTCCCTCTTAGCTCAGTTGGTAGAGCGCGTCACTAGTACTCTTAGCAATATGACGAGGTCAGTCGTTCAAGTCGGCTAGAGGGAATGAGCAATCGAAGGATTGGGTCTGATGTTTTCCACCAGCGGATGTCCCTGCCATTGGTGTTTTTGGGCCACTATAACTGACTTCGATTATCATGCAGTGCCCTCCGTTCTCTCCACCGCGCATTTGGAGCTAGCGCTCGTACATCGCCCATCATATCAATCCAATGTCTACGGCGGTGCACCGGCGCACTCCGCAGGTTCACAATACCTTATAAAGGGTCGCAGTACAGCGCTGCAAACCCAACATGGACCTCCTATTCACCAAAGACTCCGTCCGCAACAGCACTATAACCTCCTCCAACCAACCCATCTACGAAATCTCAACTCCATCACGAACCTTCCATACCAATACTACCACGATTAAGAAGCTTTCAACTTGGGGTTATGGAAGCGGTGGTGTGTATGATATAGCTTTCATCGAAACACATCGTTTCCGGGATGATATATGCCGAGTTGGCGGAAGGGATATGGCACCGAAGAGTGATGGACTGTTCTCGAGGTACGCCTTCGTCCATCTCCTTTGACTACGTGCTATTCCTAACAAGTGTGTCATAGTGCAAAATCATTCAACGCATCTGATGGGCGGAGATATAGCTGGAAGATGAAATCTAATCGAGCAACCGTATATATGCGTTCTCTACTCTTTTGCACCACTGACACCGATTCCAGCTATACGATAAATCCAAGAACATAATCGCCTCGTATGAACCAAGCCATACAAGATTCATCTTCGGTAGATCGACACCAGCGAAGTTGTCAATCTCACAAGCAGGAATGGCAATTGCGGATGATATCATTGCGACATTTGTGTTGTTGGAGCAAAAGCGTAGAGAGGGAGGTGGAGATGGAGGTGGTGGAGATGGTGATGGAGGTGGTGGTGGAGATGGAGGTGGTGGCAGTGGTGATGGCGGTGGAGGTGGAGGTGGCTGTTAGATCCAAGGCCGATACTCACTATATAAAGTCCAATTGTAGGGTACCTAATGACTAGTGATATCAGGAAGCTGTTAACACGTCCCGTGAATGAACATCTCGAACTGCGAGGATAACAATCTATTGTGATAAAAATCAGTCAGGGCAGCGATATAGTCGTTATCTCGAATTATGTCGCTAACCGAATCGTCGACGTGGCTCCAATCCTCTCACTTCGCTTTGGAATAAATCTTGACGTTGTATCATTGTTCAGCCAGAGAGTGATTTCAGAAAACATCAGTCTCGACCGTTGCCGAGTGTACTTACTAGTACTTTCGTTCAAATAGTGATCAAAGTGGGACTTAATTGACTCGTGATGTGTAGCCATATGGTGATGTACCAAAGATGTGATCACGCTTTGACATGAATCTTGGACCTGAGAGATAAGAAACGACATTGGACTATAAAATAGTACACATCTTCCTTCAGCGGAACCCATCACAGAAATGAGACTCCTTGCATCTGTCGCTATCATCTTCCTTGCGACTCTTGCTGCTGCTGCTCCTGCTGAGGTAACGCCATCCTTAGACTTCAAAGTGAATGTAAGCTAATATTAAGTATCGAATAGGTGAATTTGAAGAGGAATCCTGAGGCTAAGCCTCCGGAATGTCCTCCGCCAGGTATATGCGTAAGTTCTCATTTCACAAAGGGACGTTCAAGTTAATTGACTCTGGGATAAAGCGTTGAAATATAAAGATAAGGAAGATCGTGAACATAGTAGTCAGGAGTATATCGTATTGTGTTTGACTTGAGCCTGGTTAAAGGCAGATGAGGCGTGAGAAGAGTTGTTTTGATGGGGTGATTTTTGTGCACGTGTCGTTTCTCTCTTTCGTCTCTTTCCTCAATGTGTGCTTAGGCTTTCTCATTTGGAAAACTCCAGATCTATTATTCCTTGGCTTGTGGGGCTGAGAATATACTTATGAGCATGCTGATGTCTCTTTGTCAGTTGTGCTGACTTTGACGGGTCTACGGAAATCGATTTTTTCCTTCTGGCAACATTTATGCAAGCTTCGTGAACACGTAGCGATTGCCTGTTGGCTGGTGGTTGTTTACAATCTGTCATCAAAACCTCTTCTCTCCGAGTCGGAATACCTGGGATTACCTGTGACTAATCGGTGACTACAACTACGGATGGCTCTCTTGTGTTAGGCTGATACTACTGTTCGCGGCTCACAGCTCACGGGGCGATCCAGAAAGTCCATGGTCTATCGGAAAAACTGTACAAACTTCACGTTTACGAGCATCAATCAATGTCATAACAAGACCTTCATTTCTCCGAGTCATAGGTCACGATAAACCTTGCGTTGACTGGCCATTATCGTTGCTGACTATACGTTGCCCAGTGACGAACATAGAACAGGGTATTTGCTCAAAGCAGGGAGCGTGGTGCGGCTGTCCCGGATACTGACATAATCCACCCTACGCGAATGTTAGGAAACGTCCATTATGTATAATACAGTGCGTGTCCTTATATTGTCGACTCTGGGCTGATTTTATTGTGTCCACCGATGTCTCTTCCAGTTGAAAGAACCTACACTCTTCTCAACGACGTTCAGATAACTTTCACAGACAGTGGCGTCCCACCTGGATCTACCGACTACACCACATTGGTCATCATTCATGGTACCTTATTCGTCGGAGGTATGGCGCTACTCGATATTGCAGCCCAGACACAACTAAATGCTCCCTATTCAGTTGGATTTGAGGATCTACAGGTCCTTGCACCTTCCAAGAATTTAAGGATCATGGCTCTGAATCGGAGAGGTTATCGAGGTTCCACATCCTTTACTCCAGCAGAGATGGATGATATGTGTCAAGGATCCAGAGACTTTCTCGATCGTAGGATGCTAGAGCTCGCTGAATTCTTGACGACTGTTATTCGGATCGAAAAAACACCAAAGCTCGACACTGATGGTCGTGGCGGTATAGCCGTTTTGGGCTGGTCCCTAGGCGTAATGACCGCGCTGTCATTATTTTCGAATCCCAGTTTACTTGATTTCGAGACCGGCGTACTTCTGGGGGGCTATCTAAAGCAATGCATCCTATATGGTACGTGTCCATCTGCTACATACATAATTCTCGGGTCTGATTTAACTACTCCAAATCAGATCCTCCGAGCAAATCCTTTGGATATAGTCTTCCTTCAACGTTCAAGCTACCCGTGGTCCACAATCCATTCACCGACCCGGCAGTCAAGGAAGAGGAAAAAGTCTCCAAGTTCATGTTCTGGGTCAGCTCTGCCTTTAAACACCGCCACGATACAATTACTGCCAATAGCCATGAAGGTTACGATTTTGATACGGAGTGCGATAATTCTCTAGTCGGTACATGGACCAAAGATAGGATAGGAAAGTATTGCGACCCAGATGGTTTTCGCTATGACTCGATAGTGTAAGTTCGGTTCATGTGAACTCATCGCACAAAATTGATGGTATAACAGAACTAGGAACTATAACATACAAGCTCATTGTCGCGAAAACACACAAAGGGCACTCTTTGATGTAACGTTTCTGCCCAAGCTTACGTTTACTTATTTGTGGGCACCAAGATCAGTTTGGGATACAGTTTGGGCTTTCCGCGAGACCGAAAGGTTATATGAGGAGTATCTGGAGCGCAATAAATCCGATGTTCGGCAAGTGACATTCATGAAAATGGACGGAGCGACTCACTTCGTACGTGGGTACCATATTGTATCTTTTCAAGTCCTAACTAAAACTGTCTTAGGTTCACCAAGAGTCCCCCGAGGAATTCATGAACTTCGTCATGAAGGCTCTCTTCAATTGATGACTGTGCGCATACCTTAAACAATGATCAAGCACTGTAAGGCGCCCACCCATTTTTGGTTTATCTTGCTTCCTTATCATTTATCTATTTACCTTTAATTACCTACGACCTCGACTATATAAAGCCATCAATCGTCTGTATCTTGTCAGAGTCTACTCCGTACACGAATCCTACCGTTGGTCGTGCCCTCTCGGCCTCAGGGCCTCGTCCCTCCTTCTGCTCGAGTAGTCGAGATCAGCGGCGTACAAGACGCCTTACAAGCACTTTTCATACATGACCAACATCAGGGGACGACCCTGGTTCAACGGCAGTGAACTGCACTTGGCCATATTCTCACTATTCTACTTAGTGGTAAGAATCAGTGATCAATCATTGACGAAGAGTGGGGCTGCTCCACCGACATGATGACGCCAACGTCAGTTTCACGATACTTAAAGGTCATCGTGCTTTGGTAGTGTGGGATTCATTACTGAGACATGGACTTCCTACTTGACAAAGACTCCGTCAGAAATACCACCATCACGCTGCTTACCGGCCAGCCTGTATACCAAGTCTCGACACCAACACGATTAATCCATACAGAAACTACCACCATTAGGAAAACCCAAGGATATGGGTCGCACGATATGGCAACTGTGGAGATGCACACGACCAAACATGACATATGTCGAGTTTGGGGCAACGATTTATCGCCAAAGAAAAGGTGAGTGTCTCTCGACCGCGTTCAAAGCTATTTCATGTTCAATAACAATTTGATAGTGGGAAATCGTTCATATCTTCAAATGGAGAACCATACGTCTGGGAGAGGAAGCGGGGAAAAGGCATAGTTGTAAGCTATCAGTACTTCAGTTGGCAATAAAGAGTTGTATGGCTTACATACCATTCTAGTTACGGGACAGAGTCAACAACGTCGTCGCCGTTTTTGAGAAAAGTCATAAAGGCCTATTCAATGCAAGCCCGAAACAGGCCAAGTTATCTGTATCACCCCTTGGGCTACCGATAGTTGATGAAATTGTGGCTACCTTGGTGCTCACGGAACAGCGAAGGCGGGCCGAGAAAAGTGCTGCAATGGGCGATATCGCGGGGGCGACGGGCGACGTTGTTGGTGCCATTGCCACATAATGAGGATTCTATGTATTGACATATCTAAAAAATTGATTACTTACTACATAACACTGTTCCCTTCTTATTAACTCTTACTGTCTTCCTATATTCAGTGTTTCCTTTTTGGGCAAGCCCATCCATTGA